TTGGCTAGATTGAGTCAAAGGCCTGAGGAAAAGGCTACTCAGTTTATTGCCAGATTTAAAAGGGCTCGGAATAAATGTAGAGTCATTCTCCCAGAGCCAGAGTTTGTAAGATTGGCTCAAAAAAGTGGATTGCTGTTGTAAACCTCTCCGAGGCTGAGTTTGGACCATTGTAAGTGTTCATTTTTATGAAATACTTCAATTGTTCTTCATATTACTGTTATTCCTTTTAATTTCTCCTAAGTCAAGCCACCAGTAAAAGTCCTCTTCATTGAGGCTGAAAGAACTAAACACAATCGTCTGGTAATTGGTTGGCAATCACAATTTCTGTAAGGACTGATTGATCCTTGCTGGCACGCTTACATTTACAAAAATACCCTTCGAAAAGCCAAAAAGCCAACAATTCCACATCTCACTAATTTTCGGGATAAACTTTCATAATTCATAAGATATTTTCAAGTACAAAAATAAGTACATAATTTGATAAAGAAATTAGACGGATTCATTTATTTTTTAAAATGTTATTATGCATAGTCCAAATTTATCTAGTGTAACAACACATTAATCTAATTATTGGAGCACATAATAGAAATTTACATAAAATTTTTAAAATAAATAATAATTTTTTCAATATTTTCCAAAGGATCTCTAAAAAAGTTTTGTTTTTTTAATTAAGCACTCGGTTGTTAAATTTAAATTTAATTTTTCTATGTCTAAGAAGATGTAGATGCTTCAGCTTCAAAGGATGGAGAGGAAGGTGTGGATGCTTCCATTATAGGAGATGGCGCGGGAGCGGAAGGAACAAAGGCATTAATATAAGCAAGCCAGTCAGAAGAGTAGATCTTCGCCTTCTTGGCTAAGAATGATGGGTTGTACCCTTGTGCTTCTTCTGAGCGCCGGATAGCAGGCATTATCTTCGTAGGTATAGAAGATGTATACCAAGCCACAAGCAAGTTCTCCTCCAAGCTACGTCGTTGGTCAATGGGCACATAAGGATAGACCACTGAACTTCGAGCGTAGGAAGGAAATTCCAAAGGGTCAGTGAATTCAATGAAATGGTGATTGATTCGCTCCCTCAAATCATAAGTCTCAGGTGTTGACCAGTTGGTCCAGCCAGAGGCCCCAGGAGATGAAGAAGTTGTAGCCTCATTCCATGCAGAATTTTTTCCTAAATCCATGGCTGTAAATTGCTGAATCGAGGGATCGAAAGTAGTTTGTTTGAAATACAAGGAAGAATCAGGGGAAGAACTTCTTGTATCTATGGCTGTAGTTTGTCGAATCGAAGTCTTAAGGGCAATGTATTCGTGGTCCAAAGGATGATAATTTGCAAAGGCATCCATAACCTGAATATAGGAAGGTGGATAAAGGTGGCTAATGAATGCGTGGAGGTTCTTTCGAGGGGGATCAGCATTACCCAATGACTCTTCGTATGCTTGATCAGTAGAAAGGGGAGTTGGTTTAGCCATGGTCTGTTCGAATACTAAGGTGTTGGGATATCCAACAGAACAAAAGGGAGTTTATGCAAATAATCATCAAATAGGTGACGGTTATGTTTCCTGGGAATGAATTCCATACACGATCCAAAAGCGCGGGAAAAGCTTCTTGGTCCACTAATATCAACAAGTATTGGGTATATTAGTGCGGGGGGTAATGTTAGCTATATATTTTGTAAAAGCCAGTTACAATCCGACACGTGGCAGAATTAGGGTATTATTGGAAAATAATTTAAGTCTTCAATCCTAATCGTACACGTGGTGATGATAATTGGTTCTCACATGGTCTGAGCAACATTGGATCAGTAAAGAAACGCAAGGTGACGTGGCTTCAACGGTTACTCATATTCAAATTCAAATACAGGAGGGAAGCCTAACTGCAAATGGTGGCATAATGGAGCTACTTCTAAGGCAACATGATCAGAGATCATGGAGGAGCAGTTCGACGG